AAGGAAGGAAGGAAGGAAGGAAGGAAGGAAGGAAGGAAGGAAGGAAGGAAGGAAGGAAGGAAGGAAGGAAGGAAGGGCATTAACATTTTATTTTCATAGCTTTTGTTCTTTCATTTATCCAAAGCGGATGTTTTTTCCCCCTACTTCTCTTTTTAGTTTAACCTCTATGTTTTACATTCCACCAGGTTCAATCTGATACAAACCATCAGAAAGGCACACAAACACTTTGTTCAACAAACAGCACATGGCAGCCATTCTTTATTTTATATTAGGGCTAGTCAGGGACATCCAGCTTTCCGAGAAGAACGTTTGACTTGAGCAGGCCTTTTATCTATGTTCCCATCTTGAAAACTTGGAGCATGGAGGATCGAACCAAAATGAACATGACGTAATACACTGGGTTATTGTTTTATTTAACACTTCAGACAAGAAAATTGCAGAAGCATGACTTGTTTTTGCTAGTAGAAGTAAAAAAAAAAAAAAAAAAAACCCACAATCATAACATTGTGGGTAATTACTCTTTTTGTTTGTAAACCGGACAAGACTGAAAGAAATTGCATCACAAGCTCGGCATGTCTTACCTGAAAATCAAGTAACCCAAGGTCATTGTTGTGTTTGCTGACCAGGGCGACTATTGTTGACAAATCTGTTTACACAATATTTTAGCAGAAAAGATATTTAACAAATGTCACACACCTGACCTCCTCTCCTGGTGGGCCAAAGGAAAGCCCAATCCACCAGCTTCTCGGCCCCAGGGAGAACTGTGAAAAGAGCAAAAACTATATCAGTTATATTCTCCTCCAAAGTAAATCATTGTCCCACACCTGAAAGATCACAGGTCCCATTCAGACACACCAATTACTCCTCGCCTTACTAATGGTTTTGTTTCTAATAATCCCCCTCACGAGCCATATGTTACGACCCGTCTAAGGGTGACCAGATCATGGCATGAAGGATCTGTCCTCTCCAGATCCCACGCAGCCAACTCACACAAAGATTTTATCATGTTATTTACTTTAAAAAATATGTATTTTTGATTAAGAAGTTACAAATGGAGCATATGGCTTCAGAGTTACAATGCCAAAAACAACAAAGGGAAACTATCCGAATATTAATTGAAAGTTAATTAAAAGTAAACAGACCAAATGACAAATACGTATCTCCATAATTAAGAAAAACATGAAAAACTAAGCAAACATAAACGGCAGTTCACTCTTACAGACTCTACATGGAGGTAACAGCAGCTTTTATATTTGTCACCTCCACCAATAGGACGTCTCCGTCATCCTCTAGGAACCAGTCAGAGACAGGCACCTGCACACTTGTATACGCTTAATTAAGTTGACGGTGCCCGTCATAACACATACCAACACAACTGATGTCTTTGTGTTGGTATAGCTTCTGACCCCTCTATATATATGGACTTCAGCAAGTTTCCACAAGTAAGAGATGTCTTAGCTCAAACATCACAGGTCGTATGACAAGTAAGCGTAACTGTCTACATTCTTGCTGATTTTCCAATGAGTGCGAACTTCATAATGGCTTTCAGAGGCAGCAAGCCTCTCTGATTCAATCAGACTGACTGCGTTTCTATTCAATCAGTTAAAAAACATCTATGATTATTTAGATTTTCATATAAAGCGATTTAAGATTGTAAAAGTTTCAAACGTTTATTTTTTTGTAGCTGTTTATTTTAAGCCTAAACAACTTATGATATGTTCTACTTTGATTCAAAATACACTGACAGGGTAGTATTGAAATGTAGAAGCAAAACAATCATAAATAGTGGTTTACAGATATATACAGGTGGTATCCTGTCAGGGTTAATCAGTCTATGAAGAAGGCCAATAACAAACCCGTCGTAAGCGCTCCTTGATGAATTGCGACTCTTCCCTGGAGTGAATGGACAGAAGGTAGGCTCCCATCATCTGACAAGCCAAAGACACTGTGTGCCAGCTGTAAAGCTGGTTAGCCAGCAAGTACTCAGCTCCACGGTAAAACACCCAGGCCTGGCTCTCTGGAGGCAGAAAAAACACCACAATGTCAAATATGTAGGAGGGCCTTGTATTTACCTAGATTTACTATAAAGACACCATGAAGCCATGTATCACACCAGGTAAACTCTCTATTAATACAATATGGGGCCCAAGGCAATATCTCTTGCAACATATTATCTTCAGGATAAAAACAACCAGGCACATAAACGTCCACAGCTCTCTTTTAGACATGATGCCTCCTATCAATCAATCCTGGATCATGATTTTTCTAGAAGTGAAACCAACCTACCCTGCAGAATGCTTTCCAAGAATAATGCCAGGATTTTGCAGTACGAAGGCAGAAGAAGAAGGAAACTAAATGTAGCTAATTGTTATCAGTAGGGAACATGCAATTCAGACACACTTACTGCCAAGTATTTAGAGGTTGAAACACTAATATTATATTCCCAGAACTAAAAAGAGTCTTGAAAAATTTAAAAGATAAACATAGACAGGCGTGTTGCGAGCAGCTGAACACAACAGTAACCAATGGGAATTACTGGTTGTTCATCTGTAAGAAAGTATCTAAAAATTCTTCCACTTTCTTGTCATAGTTATATTGTTTTTCTATTTTTTGCTTGGAGAAAATAATTGTTTAATTAATTATGAGAGGCAATAGACTGCATCCAAGGCAATGTGTTAACATGGGCTACAAATATCTATACAGAACCTGATTATATTTGTGATAAAAGCAAAGATTTATTTACTATATTCACTCACCTACTTACAGCCAGTCTGTCTCCCTTCTTCTTTTACTATATTATCAATGTTTTCATTCTCCTCATAAAGTACATCAGTGCATCTTTGTTTAACCATAAAGTGCATTTTTGTTTAACCATAATTTGTGTAAAGGTGGAGCTACTGACAAACCTACTGCTGCCATTTAAAACTGACTAATCCTTCTGTTTTTTGTGGAAATCGTGTGGTTCAATTTGCATTGAGGTTTCCATCCAGGAAGAGAAACGTCTTGAAATTTGGAAACAAAGTCCAGTGGATTGTTTGTTTGTTTTTTTACTTTTTGGGGGGATTTTCTATTTTTCCTTTCCAGAGAGAGGACATTCAATCAGGGACTTTCAATTTTTCTGGCTCCTTTTCTTTGAGCCTTGCACTGTATCTTGTTAAAGGGGAGGGTTTTTTGTCTTGTTTTTTTTTTTTTTTTTCCTTTTTGCCAAACCCTTAGGATAGCTGTTCTGTCTTTGAGTCTCACATAAAATACATCTGAGTTTATTTTCAACATGGTTCATATTGCCTTAGATAATGAATTTGATTGTTGCCTTGTTTGAGCAATTTAAGTTCTTCTTTCTAAGTTCTCCTTCTTATTATTTTAAAATGCATTTAAATCAAATATTACTATATTATTTTTATTAAATATTACGCATGGCAAATTTTAGATATAAAACCTTAAAAAAAACTACAGCGCATGTAAAAGAAGCAAAATTAATGTTGGAAGTAAGGACAGATATACAGACAAAAAAAAAAAACAATAATATTCCTGTATGTAACTTCAGAGCTTATATTTGACATTTATTTTGCTTGGTTTGACCAAAAAAAAAAAAAAAATGGGTAAGGGGACCTGCCAAAAAAGAAACAGATGTGATAACTTCTTGAATTATTGAGAACACACACACTTTTAAACAAATACTGTTATCAAGTAGCCTTGGATTCAATTTTAGCATTGACACTTAGTGAGGTCACAGCTGCTGAAAGACACGGGATGATAGTAAAGACTCTCTGGATGCAACATTTGGTAAAACATTATACTGCAAATGTTAGGCATTCACACTCTACATCTCAATAATATATTTGGGTAGTTCAACCCTTATTGTAATAACTTAAAACTAATACATTCTCAATAAGGATTAATCAGATCAAAAAGAGACTGGTAAGGGAGCCTGTGAGCTAACGCAAATATTATCGAGCTCCTGGAAATCACCAACAATGACAGGTTATGGTTTTATGTGACAGCATTTCTGTTTATTCTTATGTCAAAACTAAGGAGTAGGAATGCTACACAGAAAGATTTCCCTGCACAGCAAAAAAATTAAATAAACAAAAGTAGGGATGCACGATATAATCGGCCCCCTATCGGTATCGGCCTGTATCGGCCTTAAAACTGAATATCGGACATCGGCCACCCCACCGATATTTAACCCGATATTTGATCAGCTTCTGAGTTTCTAAAGTCTAAAAAAAAAAAAAATACTACTTCTTCTTCTTCCTCAAAAACCTCTTTTTTACAGACTTAAAAACTTCTAAAGATGAGGGAAAAAATATTGATACATTAAAATATCACAATATCTTCATATGCTGATGTATTGCCATTTAAAAACACCATATCAATCTCTTTTACTAATGAAATATTGCTATATGTCATCGTTATGCTACAAAATCCCCCAAAAATTCACGAAATTTTGCCATATTTTTATATGTTGATATATTGACGCGGTATCGATCTATTTTACTAACAAAATCTCACAAGAATTTGCAAAATATCACGAGAATTTGTAACAGAACGATGAAATTTCATGAGATTTTGAAAGTAAAATAGGTCGATATCGCGTTTTTAAAAATCAATTTGATAATAGCATATGAAAATATATTTGAGTACATTATTTTTCAAAGTGTCAGAAATGGATAACAAAACTGCTATTTTCAATGACTACTTATTTTTGTCCAGCTTTAACATCGGTATCGGTATCGGTTATCGGCTACATTAGTTTTTAAATATCGGCATATCGGATATCGGCCAAAATCCCAATATCGTGCATCCCTAAACAAAAGACAAGCAGACCTAGCATCAAAAGCCCCTAAACGTTATGAGAGAAATAGCTGCTATGTGTTTACAATCAGTTAAACACTAAGCAAGCATTCAAAACAGGCAGTTTCTACTGGAGGATACGCTTTTAAAGTGCCTGTTTTGTTAGGTAAAAAATTAGACTCAGAGTCTGTGTCCGAATGTCTGCCATAATCATTATATAGGGCACTATATGGTGGTCACGCCACTTTAGATGAGTGTCCGAACATCTAGTGGATGAAAAAGTAATGGGTTCAAAATTTCCCAAAATGCACGTTGAAAAGTAGTGATCATTATTGGTCACTGGATGAGCAGATTTATGCCAGAATGCTTTGCACAGAGAGCTCTCCTTCCATACCATCATGGGATTTGTTGTCACAGTGGCCCGATGTCGCCTACGGCTGTCGCTGCCCGACAGCAGTGGAAAATGACAAAGATGGCGCAAGCGAGGAGGGAAAGTCACATGACCAACGGGGAGTGAAAAATAGGGATCATCTGTCCGAACAGTCAGTTAACTGAGTTCGCTATAAAGTCCACTATAAAGTCCTAGCTCTATATAGTGATTGAGGGATTTAGGGGTTAGAGCAGACCTTCGACACAGCCTGAGTTCTTTTGTACAAAGCTATTTAGAGTTTGAAGAAATATAAAGAAAGAAATCAAATTTTCAGATCCTATCTGTTACACTGAAAAAAATCCAATTAAAAAAGCTTTAGAAGATTGTTATGAATTTATATAATGCCTCTTCACAGTAATGGCCTCTTGGCAGTGTTCTTTCTGCTACTGCTACCTTTTAGTCTAGCACTAAGGAAACAGAAACATACTGAAGCTGCTTTAATGGCTCAGAGGTAATTGTGAAATTCATGTAGAGTTCCAAATGAAAATGTTTCACTTACGCTCAGTGTACCAGTAAGGTTTCTTCAGTTCTTCACCTGCGGTCCAAAACACACTTCACTTAATCAAGCTGTATTCTATTATATATGATGCAACTGTAGTGGGAAAAGGTGCAAGACGTGCAACCTCTGGGCAGCTTGCAGATCCACTCGTGTTTGGTGTCACAAGGGCGTGGCATCAGAGTGTTGGTCAGGTCACTGTATACAGCGCAGTCCCTCCTGTCATCCTCCTCGTTCTTGTCTCCAATGAAAGACGCCACTACCTGCAACAATTGGCATGGTTGGTAAAAAAAAATAGGCTAAAAACTGCATGTTTCCTTCATGCTACAGCACTGGTGAGCTTTCTACAAGCTACAGAAACATATCTGCATGCTTACCGGAGAGTCATCGGACCACTCCCAGACTCCAGGTTGCTCGGGATCTCTTTTATTCAAACCAACCCAGAACCAGCGGCCTTCTGTTCTAAAGAAATTAACATAAAAAAGGAGAAATAGAAAAAAAGAAAACCAAGAAATTTAACCCCACATGCTATGCATTTCACTTCTGAAAAAATGCTCACAAAATAGAACACTGGCCACTGTTAGAGCCAACTACACAGCCCTGAAATTTTTCTATAGAGGCTTGAAAGCAACACACAGCATGATTGGGAATCTATCCCCCTCTCTGTTTGCTACAGAAATCTAATAGGAAGTACATGTTGAGCTAATTAGATTACTTCAATTTGCTTTAAAGAATTTTCAGACTATTTTCTGTTCTCTTTGAATCCATTAAAAATGAATTTGTGGATGTAATGGTGTAACACCCTTCATATTGAGCTCCAAGGAAGTGAAAGAATGCATTCATTACTTCTCAAACCGATACTGCAGCACTCTAATGCTCTAAGAGCTATACCAACCCTTCAAACATGGTGCTGAGCAGGTGCTTTACAAACAACTGCTCCTCATAGTGCTGGAAACTGGCCAGCTGAGCACCGAGGGCCTGGCAGAAGAAGTCTGCTTCCACCCAGGAGCGCTTCATCAAGACTTTCTCATCATGGAACACCTAGAGGGGCAGCACATCAGGTCAGCAGAGTTTAAACCGGAGCAATGCCTAGCATTAGGTTGCAGGAGATTTGATGTTTTTAGATATGAAATATTAAACATCCAAATAAAACCCATTATTCAAGAGCATATTTACTATAAAAACAATTTTTTGTCACCAAAGCAAAAGAGTAAAATCAAATTTCTCTTCTTTTTTTTTTCGTATAAGGCATTGCTATTTTCATAATATCCCCTAGTAAACAGTCCAGTTAATCACTTTTTTCACAGCGGTCATTTTTTAAAACAAAAATGAACAAAAGCGTCAAAAACTTCTTGTCTAGAAAATTAAATGCTTAAAAGAGAAAATCCTATCAGGCTCTTTGTGTCGCAATGTCTCTAAGACTAATTTCAGAAATTTATTTTAATGAATAAATAAGTAACAGTTCAGTAATAGTAAGGAATTATAGTAACTTAACTGTAAATTATGATAAAATAGTACTTTATAAAAACAAACAGCCTGGGCATGTGATATTAATCTGCCATTCAAAGTGAGAGGTAAGAAAGTAGACTATCAGACCTTAAAGCAGTGAAGCAGTCCAGAGTGTGATTCCCAGCCTGGAGGACAGGGGGCGTAAGCATCAATGTGACGCCCTGTCAGAACAGCATCATTGTGGCTGCTGCTCATTTTACACACTGACAAAGCCTTGTGGGATTTGCAGTCTTTCACCTCCCAGTGGCCCAAAGCAGGACCACCAGACATGGCAACGCAGCCACCGGAACTGACTGGTTAAACAGGGAGAAGGAAGCAAGATTCACTTCAAAACCTTTTCTAAACTAGTCAGTTCTGTTAGCCAGAAAACAAGTGGTCACCTGGCTGATGTTTGTTCCAGTTTGAGAAGGTGAGAGGCAGAGAGGAGCCATTCTGAGAAAGCCATCTGTACTCCCCCTTCCCCTCCTCGTCCTTGAGGCCGATCCAGTACGACATGCTGCTGTTGGTTCCGTTTGCACTTAGCAAACTGTTAATAAAAGCCTGCTCAAACCTTCCAGAGTGAAGATGAAGAAAGAGAAGCAATGACATAAAAATCTTTTTTGTTTTGTTTTCTTTCCAAATAGACAACCCGCTAAAGGATTTACCTGTTTTCCAGAGTGAGGAGAGGAGCCTTGCAGTAGTATCCTAACGTTGCCTCTTCAAATGTCTGTTCATGACTAGTTACTGTGTAACAGGAGTGACCATATCTCTTCCAACCCTAAAAAGAAGGTGAAAAAGAATCCAGTAAGTAATAAAAGTACAGATTTTGCAAACAAATTTCATAGAAGACATCATTGCCTCTCCTAGAGGACTTCTTAACAAATAACAATTTCAGTATTGCAAAAAAAAGCAACATAACAGAAATAACACTTATTGTTCCACGGTGGGAAAATAAACCGTTAGAGCCCAAGATAACAGAGATCCTTAGTCACAAGAGTTAAAATCTTATTTTATACATTAGTTAAAGTCTTTATTGATAAATCAGTGTAGTAATAACTAATCTAATCACCTTGACCTTGTCCTGGCAGCACCCACTTTTTCTTTTAAAAAATGTGCTTGAAGATTTTACATTAGGTTTAGTGACACTCAGAATATTAAGTGCTACTTTTAATTCTGCTTCCTTGTAAGGTGATCCCTGTTCCGTCAAATCACATGACGTTGTCTCTACGCATCAATGTTTGTAGCTACAAACCCTTAGTTCATCTCCAACGATAAATTCAGACAACATACTGAGAGGAGCTAAGATCAGTCCTGATTATCTTGATTAACTCTTTAAAGAGGGTTTTAATAAATTGTCAATTGAAAAGAACAAAAGCAATAGAACTTATTACAAAAGGATAATTTAACGAATAAGAGCCTTATAATAAAAATCCTAACATTTAAGCATTTTCTGTTTTTTTTTACTTGACATGATTCGAAAGAAATAGGCTAACTCACTGAGTTGGTACCTCAAAGTAGCACTAATTGCAAACTGATGTTATGATCAACTAATAGAGGTTAGACCTGCTTAAAGTACTAGACACTGCAGAAATGAAAACAGTTAGATGGGATAGCTCCAGCTATGATTAAGTTTTAGACTAAAATACTCGAAAAGTCATCTTCTGACTTTATATTTGAAAGTTTCAGCTTATTTGAATTTTTGTGATACCACTATGTTTGTATCTCCTGCTAAACAAACAAAAGAATTAGCACTTAACACTGAATGCCATAAAGTAACATCACAGCGATGACTTATGCAGCCTCTGTTTGAAAGCATAAATGTTTATCCGGGTCCTGACATGTTAAACCAACTCAGAGGCCTGTTTCTCAAAGCAGGTTTACTGAAAACACTAAATTTTTCTAAACCTATAAACTGAGTTTTCAACATAACAAAGAGAGTTCACTCAGCCTCTGTTTCTGTTACTATAGTAACATTCTCCCTAAAGCTAACCCGGTCAGGAGCAGGTTTTCCTCAATAAACTCAGTTCCTCTGTCTCCGCTCTCCTTAGAGCCAATCATGATGTTTTTGTTCCGCATACATCCAGACCTTATCCGCCTTCACATTTGCAGCATAACATACTTCTTTAAAATTATTTAACAGAACTTTATATTGGTAAGATAACATAGATGTGTGACAATAGCATCATAGAAAACAACTGCACAGTCAAACAGTCACTTAGTGTTTACTGTGTAATGGAAGACAGACATATAATGAGGTGGAACTCCATGAGATGATGAACAAGTCCTACCTGTTAGAACAACGTTTTTAGACTTAATCCTCCCCTGCTGCCAGGTGATTTCACCTAAATAGATACATTGATCCACTACCATTCAAGCAAAAAACTAATTTTCCCTTCTATGGAAGGCAGTATTGATATTTGTTAGTTTGTCTGAATGGTATTACTGATATCTGGAATACAGTTTTTTCTTATTATAATGAACATTTCAAACAAAATGACATTCTTCACATAGAATAAACTTCTGGACATCTAGAAATTAATTTTACATCTCCATATTCCTATTGTTACTGGGCATCATTTGCATTATTTTGACTATGAAGAAATGTATTTCAGATATCATAAATACATTTTCTGTCAAGCTTATAAACATCCAAATGGCCACCTAAAATGTGTAAACATTTATAGGTATATCAAATATAAGTCTTACTAGTACAATTTTGTTTTCCTTTACTTTCTAAAATTCAGTTTCTCCTGCAAAGTTGCAATTTATAAAATCTGTTATTAAAGTTCCATCTAGGAGTTTTATTTTGACCAGGAAGAATCCTATTTTAGTGTTCTTCAAATTGAACAACAGACAGGAGAATGCTTTAAATAAATGTACAATACAGCCTGCCATAGAGTTGTTCAAATAAGAATGCATTATGTCTAGCAGCAATCTTCTTCTTCGCCATCTTCCTTTCCTTTGCAGCTGTAATGCTGTTTTTCATTTATGCATTAAAATCTCTAGTTCTAGTGGTGTGAAATAGGCACTTCCTGTTGCCTGTCGTCATGGTGACCCGTTGAATTGAAGCTCTACTGATAATGACTTTTCATACTTGTTACGCATGTGTTCAACTCTGAGTGGACCTACTTAGAGCGATTAAACTAACCTACAGCAGACTTTCTGAACCCCAAAACTTTCCAACCTCAGGCTAAATCAATTCAGAGTTCAGGATTTCAGTTTTTTGTTAAACCTGCTTTGTGAAACGAGCCCCAGATCTGATTTAGGAAGAATGTCCTCTGTGTTTCTTCTTTCAGCAATATCTGTACTCATTTTAAAAGGGAACATAAGAGGCTGTTTGGACAGGTGGTATAAATTTTGCCCCCTCACCCCTATAAAGCCTGAAACTCTCAGCTGCCTTACGAGATCCAGACCCTCACCCTCACGTTTGCATCAAGAAACTTTTCTGAGACAGCTTTTTTTTTTTAATCAGGAACTAAATTTTTTATTTTTTTTTTAAAAGAACTTAATGCAACACAAGAGACAGAGAAAGCATATTTCTTTTTGCAGTACATCAGGCAAGAATCAACAGACTGCTCAAGCATGACAGTTGATAGCATGCCCTTGGGGTAAATTTTTTGGCCTCCTTTTCCTGAGTACCAAGTAGCCTGATGACTCAGGAGGCTGATATTTTAGTAAACAGAGTCAGGGAGAACCACGGATGCCAGACAATACGTCAGCGGGCGGGTGAATCACCTCTTTGTGCTTCTGAAGGGGCAAGTTGTTGGACTAAGAGTTGAGCTACAGTGGGTGTGTGGCTCTTTTGTGTTGTGGCTCCCCGCTCAACCAGCTCTACATCATCAATCAGCTCTACATTTTTTAATATAGATGGTCTTCAAAAGCTTAGAATATTCTTCTAAAATGTTTTTTTTCTGTTATTACAGTAAACATATAATTTGGAGGTTTTTTTTTTTTTTTTCCCTTGAAAACTCAAGACATTAACAGTTGTCACAAAGAATAATCTCAACTTCCTTTTGATAATAAAAGACAACCAAGAAGAAAGAAAGAAAGAAAGAAAGAGAAAAAACACTGAAAGTATGATATTTGCTTGTCCTGCTGTGACTTTCTGCAGGCATTCATCAGTTTAAGTGGGAATGTTGTGAAACCATGTAATGTGTCATGTAACCTCCTCCTAATCTAAGCCAAGCTTATAGCGTGCCATCTATGACTCGACTTGTTTTTCTCCCAAACACACAGCAGGTAGCTACAGGCTGAATAGTTAGCACTTTCTGCTCAGTCTCCTACCGCAGGACACCCTTGATCCCAGGTTCCTTCACGCTGAACTGGACTCTGGCTTTCCCTTCTGCACACAGTAGGGTGTCGCTCGTCACATGTGGCTAAAAGCCAGTTACCTTTCTGTGACAAAGAGAAGTTTTTTCAGGATAGCAACAAAGGGCACTCTTTCTCTCTCCCCACACACAGCGTCCTACCTCTTTCTCCACTTTGCCACAAAGAGTTGAATCTGACATGTTGGTAGGAGGGTGATACTGGTCCCAGAGAGTCAGAGTTACTGGTGTACCATCTGACCACTCTATGCCTGGTGATGACCCCTGCTTCACTAGGCCGATCCAGACCTCTGTAATTTCCCTGGAATCTACAGATGAGGAAACAACAAAATCTGAATGCAAATACGATTAAACTGCAACTATACTGAATAAGATAAAGGCATAATTTGCATAAAAGTTCCCTTTTAGAAAAGTTTAACCAGAATATTACATACTCTGCTTAAAAAGGACACATAACTTTATTTATATATTTTTTTTTTACATTAAATCAGGCCAAATGTCTCCTTTTTTGCCCAGTTAGGAATATCAAATTGAGATGATTAACACATACATTTTTTAGCATAAGTTTAAACAATTTGAGAAACCTTTATCATGATAACATGGCTGTGAAAGCCTCTGACTGGAGGCATCCCTTTGGAGGTGTATGCTATCGACATACAGCTCCTTGCGTGCCATCATGGAGGAATCAGTGGAAATCAGCCAGGATAACAGGAGGGAAATTGTGGACCTCCACAAGTCTAGTTTATCATTGGCTACAACTGCATGACACATCTGTTCAGACAGTTATAGACAAAAAAAAATAAAGCTATATAAATATTTGGCCATCATGCCATTTCAGTGGTTGGATTTTTGGACTAAAATGTGTCTAAAACCCAGAATCAAAGTCAAAGGAACGTGAAGGTCCTGCCTGAAGTAGGAAAGAAAGCTTCTACCAACATGGCCGTAGGAGCCATTCAGAGAGGAAGAACCACTAAAACATCTTCTTTAGGGACAATGAGCCTAAAAATAAGGAAGCTAGTTTTTTTTTGGAGAGGACATCACAAATCCCTGTCTTAGTCCAGAGGGAACATTTAAAAATGTGAGGAAGGTGGTCTGCAAACTGCGAACACAAATTCTGTTAGAAGGAATGGGCCAAAACTTCAAAAACCTGTGAGAAGTTTGCTGAAAGATGACTAAAATGCACAATATAAAATTAATTTCAGAGAGCAATTACAGCAAATAAAAATGAGCATTTAGCAGTGGGTAGCACTGCTGCCTTGCAGCAATAAGGTTCTGGGTTCGATTCTCGATCTGTGGTCTTTCTGCATCGAGCTTGCATGTTCTCCCTGAATATGTGTGGGTTCTCTCCAGGTCCTCTGGCTTCCTCCCACAGTCCAAAAACATGACTGTTAGGTTAATTGACTTCTCTAAATTCTCCTTAGGCGTGAGTGTGTGTGAATGGTCGTTTGTCTCTGTGTTGCTCTGCGATGGACTAGTGACCTGCCCAGGGTGTACCCCGCCTCTCGCCCATAGACAGTTGGAGATACGCACCAGCACCCCTTGCAACCCCGCTTAGAATAAGCATGACGGAAAAATGGTTATAAAACAAATGTAAATACTGACTGTTCTAGAACAAAATATATACAGTGTACTTAAATGCAAGATTAAAGAAAAGGTTAATGTCTTTGTATTCAGTGCAACTGAATACATGGCAATTTTAAAAACCAGCCTATTTCTTCATGATTGGCTAAATGAAATTAGATGCTTTCTTGTGATCTCATGTCAACCAATTTTCTGTCAACAGGTTTTGTGATCAATAAAATTAATTATACACAATGTTCTCAAAAATGCTCAGAGTGGAGAAAAATACAAGACCTAAAAATATAACTACCTACGGCAAAGAACATCATCTAAGAAACATGTCTTAATATTAAATATAATAATTGAACTTTATTAATCTGACATTGGAGATTTTTGCCTCTGTATTTAACCCTTGGTGAGCAGTGCACTGCAATCATGGGGCGCCAGGGAAGCAGGATGGAGTGAAGGATCATTGCTCAGAAACCCAGAGTGGATGTCTGTGGGAGTGGGTTTCGAACTAACAAACACAGGATTCCAAGCTCTATTCCCTAACCACTAGGCCCCCACTCCTCCCTTGTGTTGTGTTGAAGATATTCAACTATAGGAGTTGGATCTGGTTGACTCTATGCAAATAATTCATTTGGTTTTTTTTGTTGTTTTTTTTACAAATCGGACTGTTTCCCATGAGTTTATGAACAATTGTGCTTGAATGATTTTCAACTAAAAGTACATCTCATAAAAAACCCCAGAAGATAAAAAAAAAAAATAAAGATTCAAAAATGAATTAAATGCAGCAATGTTTTCTAATAAGGTCCTGCAGGATGCCAGAAAGGAGAGTCTCACTTTAATAAAATTCCTAACTTTTGCCTGTTGGGAAAACTTCTATCTAAAACCAATATGTTAACTGTCATGTTTGTTAACATATAGTCGATTTCTCTTACAGTTAGCCAGCAGATTAAGCAGCATCTCCACCTCTGACAAGGAATGTACACTGGTGAGGTTTGCACCCAGAGAGCCACAGGCTCGGGACGACTCCTCCCAGCTTCCAGCCTCTTTTTCCGCCAGGGTGCGGTAGCAAAAGCCATTATGAGGCCACCAGCCATCGGCGCACTCGGTATGGACGTACTGCCAGTTCTCTGAGAGGGGAAGAAGCAAAATTTGCAATAAGTGAAGCAAAACAAGCACAACAAAAAGGGCAACAGGAACAGAGACGAAATTTTAAAGTTTCCTCTCCAGCTGTCCAGCACCTGGAGAAGTATCTTAGCTCCAAGAGCAACAATAGGTATAAAAAAACACCAAATGGGTAATATCTGCTCCTTAGGCTCATACCTGCCACCAGAAGAAGCAGGAAAGCATCCAGACATTTGAGTGAGCAGTGTCTGTCTTTAGGATTTAAAGGGTTCTTACCAAGTGGCTCCACTGTGCTGGTATTATTTGGTGTCTTCTTGCAGATGTAAGGCAGTGCAGACTCACAGGAAAGACTCTGCCACTGACCTCCGTAGGCAGGATTATATATCCCACATTGCATGTCAGTCTCTAGCGGACCAGCTGCAAGAGCTAAACAACAGTTAAGGTTGAGCCTTTTTTATTTCGACATGAAGTTGGTAAGAAACTTGAGAAGCAGATTTAATAAGTAAGCAGTACCTGTAGTGAAATTCACTAGTGAAACAGGAGCTCCATCTGACCACTTCCATCCGTACCCGTCCTTAAGATGGTTCAGCCCAAACCACACCATCACACCAAAATTTGCCAGTCGATCTAACCCAACATATAAAAAGTAGAAGTAAAAAAACAACTTCAAGTGGCATCGTAAATTACAATTAAAGCACTAGACCTGTAAAAACCCAAAAGCTTTTCAGTACAAGTCAGCACGTTGTTGACCGCATAAATAAAGGTGATATGGTACAATTTCTATGGGATGCCCACCTCGGATGTACCTGTGCTCTGCCAGGCTGGTGATGCTCAATAGATTCCCCCCTTGAGCCAGACAAGTGGACAGCGCCTGACTCCAGGTGAGGACGGTGTACAGGTTGAATTGGTAGCATGCCTGGAGCTCTTGGTTTGAATCCCAGAAGTGCTCACAACTGGAAACTAAAAGTTCAAAAATGTAGTAGCTAAGCCATTTATGAGGCATTTAAAGAGACTTTTAAGGATTTTAAGGAATTTAACAAGTAAAGAAAGTAGGCGTGTCCCAATCCAACTTTTTCATTTCTTATACGATACAGATTTAGCAGTTTTGAGTATTTTCCCGATACCGACATTGACCCGAGAAGATATTAGCATTAATCACATATACTTTTATTACTTATTTTGTAGGGCAGAATGATGGAAAAGGCTTGATCAAGTAATATTTATCAAGCAGAAGACACTAGTTAACATAATGTATGAGAAAAACTGACCCCTAAATGATTTACCAAGAAAAGTGAAGGGTTTCTAAAAGCTTTCTAATATCGGAAATTTCAGGGGCAGGCTGATATATTCCGATAATCATTTTTTGACTGATAAAAGATCGACTTCTGATAAATATCATATCATAACAGCCCTAGAAGAAAGCAATTTGATTTTCAGTTTACTGTATTTATTTGAAACATAATGCGGTACATTCTGATATCAAAAAGTTTTTACCACTATTTTCCCAATATTTATCTTGTTCTTAGTTTTTAATCTTTGTTTTAAACTCAACTTTGTTTGCAACACTATGATTAACTTGTTACACTGCAAAAAAGGGTTGACTAATAAGATAAAATACAAAATCTGATAGAAAAGGTATTCAAAACAAGTGGAATAATCATGATTCTACGCAGCACGATAATTTTATTTGATGGGATTTCTTGAATTAACATTGCATTTTAAAGATCAATTAAGAATAAAAAAAGTCTTGAATGAGATTAATTATCCAGCACTTCAAACAGAAGTTAAAAGTTTTGGGGCAAGCTTCCTAAATTCTTTGATCTTTCATTTATTCTAATTTCTCATGCAGGCAAACTCCCTGCTTTTCTCCCCTTCAACCAACCCTTGCCTAGATGTTTCAATGTTAACCCCCACTTATGGTGCTGCCTCCATCAACAGATGCAAATATGACAGTTTGCGCAGTTATGTTACCTTCAACAGGGCAAAAGCCCCATTTTTCAGACAGATCGTAGCGATCGGTGGTAGAACACCAGTGAAGATCATCCTCTCGGCCCTCCGTCGTACACTCCACGTACCATTTGTTGTTGTAATTAAAAGGAAAAACACAAGGATATCCATGTGCGTTTCCCAACAGAGTGTGGGTTTCTGTAAACCAAACATTTCATCAGCAGTGAGAAATATAGTACTTTCTATACAATCAGTGCTTCATCTACCTTCATATGGATGCGAGCAGGGGCCTTCTCTGGGCGTGTTGTGTCTCTTCCATTCATAGTACACATTCTTTTTTACCACCACCACACCTCCAGATGCTGTCAGCTTCCACTCTGATGCGCCATAAAGCATGTTTCCAATGCAGCGCCACCATAGCACTGGATATTTCATGTCACACTCAAACATGCCCAATGGCTCTTTTATTTCTGAAATGTTAAGGCCTAGGCACATACTGGAGCCCAAGTTGAAGAGCCTATGCCTGGAGACCCACTTCCACAGCATACGGCGCGTGGGTTGCTCGCAGTCCACCAGCAACACGTATGAGCTGATCACTGTCACGCAGCGCTTGAGCTGGACACTCTCCAGGATGAAGAAGCCCTTTTCTGTAGGGAGAGGGAGCTGAGATAGTCAAGTGGGTTGTTGCTATACATATTACAGTTAAACATAGTAAATTAATCTAAATGAGTGTGACGTACAATAGCATTATTTTCCATTTAGAATAATTAATCTCAGTGTTCCCCCTAATTCTTTGTTACACCTACAGTATATTAATCTCGGGGTTCTCCCCCATTAGTTAGAACTGAAAAAGCCTCTTAGATGAGAGGTGAAACGTCTTCTAGAAAATGTCCAGTTGCATAAACTTCATTTTTTCAGCATTGACCATGACTTGGATGACTGAGAATCTTCCCAGATGTCCAAAATAATATGTTTCTAAGCATTATGCATTTCACATAAAGCAATGAGCCAACCATTTCTTCCCAAAGCAGTTTGACGTTTTTGTATATTTTTTCTTTTGTATATTTCTTTATGCTAAATCGAGAAAAAAAGAACGCATGGTTCATTATTTAAGGAAACATTTTAACTTGAGCTCACATTGGCCTGCTGGAGACTGTTACATTCAGATGTTTTAAACTTGTTTGTGTTATAGCTCAAGCTGCTAGCGAAAATTGTTTTTGAATGGGGTGTTTTTCAAGTATAAGGTATCAAATGTCTGTGAGACCAAAAGTATTTTCAGCTTTCAGACATCCTTGCTCTGTTTTCACTGGCAAGAGCAACAGTGCAGCAAAATCCTGAATTACTTGTGTTTGGAGAGAGATTTATAATGACTCAAAGGGAAAATGGACATCAGAAATCTGCTTTTACTGCCAAATTGGAGTTAAAACTAAATGTTTCAAAATAGCACATATTAGTGCCAAAGCGTAAAGCTAATTGACATAAAATATGACATAAAAAAAAGTTTCAAATTTTGCAAATTGTCAGAGAAATTGTGTCTCACTCAGCTGTTTGGATCTCCACTGAATATTTCATTTTTTAACAACTTTGGCAGCTTTCAACCTCAGGAAGCAGTTTGCACTTCACCCAATTTTATTTCAATGTAAGTGCAACATTTTCTCACACAGTAATTTATAATAGGATGTGCAGGGGGTGAGGGGTGCTGGAGAACTTCACAAAAGTGTGCAGGAAAGTAAATCAAGCCTGTTCTGCTAAGGGGTTTGAAGAATAGACATTTTGGTGGTGCTTTATGACCTTTCTTTAAATAAAGCAAAGAGACAAATTTTTCACAGCAGCTGTCCCCAATGGTCTTCTGAGACCGCTGCCCTTTAAGTGTCACAGGCCAGCGGGTGGTACGTACTTTATCCCTGCTACAACATCTTTAAATCAGTCCTTGTAACTGAAGACTCCTGTAAATTGGATGATCCTATATGACCTCTGTCCCTTGGCCAGATTTTGGACTCAGTCCCTCCTAAGACTGAAATTAAAAGTTATTTAACACTAACATTATCGACAAATAGCAGAGAAATTCCTTATTTCAATTACAAGCATGGGCTTGAGTGATCTATTAGTATTTAATTTTTTTTTCTCACTGTCATTTCCATTTGTTAAACTTTGTCTACTTGCAACCACATCAGTTGTCATGTGACAGGAGAGTTAATGGCAGGATAGCAGTGGTAGCTCCGTGAAAGGAAGAGAAACAAGAGAAAAAAATCAAGGTTAAGTTTTCAAAACAAAGAGAAGGTTCATTGCTCCTCATTTCCAAACACATATTTTCTATGAATGTACAAATTTTATATTGTGCATTTTGAGTATATTTCATACTTACTCAAATCAGAGATAAGCAAGCTGATATGTCATGAGATTTTAAAAGAGATGCAATATTTATATTTAATGTATATATTAATATAATTTCATTATAATTACTATCTGGTTATGTATATAAACACTGATGAAGTAGAACAAATAAAAATATTTGTAAACATGAGTTGGATTTTCTGAAAAATATCATGACCAATTTGAGAAACTACCTTATTGAGAAAGTAGCATGAAACAAACAAACAAAAAATATATGTTTCTCTTTATTTGAGGTTTTACCAGCCCATCATTTTTCCCCCTTTGGACTATAACTTATTAAAGAGGAGAAAAAACGCACCAGGCACGTTGATAGAGGTCATTTGAAAATAATTAGTTCATACACTGCAAAAAATTAAAATCTACATTTTTTTCTTAAAATAGGTGCACTTTTTCTTGAATTGAGGAGGAAAGTGAGACATTTTGTCAATGGAAAAAGACAATCTACATATAAAATAAGAAAAAAAACAATTCCACTGTCTTATTTCAAGTGCATATTATCTGATTGTCTTATTCTAAGATGGAAAACACTCATTCCATTGGCAAACTATCTCATTTACCTACATGTACTCAAATTAAGGGCAAATACACTTCATTTAAGAATGTTTTTCTTCTTTATAGATGTTTTTCCAGCGTATCCTTTGCATATGCTTTTAGCCTATTTTAGATGTTTATTTTCTAGTGTTTTTTCTTCTTCTTTTATCAGAGCCAATCAAAGAACAACTGTCAAACTCTGACCTCTGGCTGCTCAATCCTTTTATCTCTATTTACTCTAGGCCTATAGCCAATAAGTCCCTTTGAAGCAGCTTGAGCAAAAAACTGAATAAAATCCTTATTCACGGGTCTTTCCTTTCAGCTCCGTTTGAGCTAAATAACATAAATATTTGTAACTTGATAACCTCATATTAATTTACCAAGACGAAATATACCAGTTAGATATGCTTTATTAGTTTTCTTAGGGAGCGTTTTATTTTGAAAAATAGGAAATGCTTGTTTTCAGCCTGGTCCTGCCTTTGTGTTTGTAATCTACCTCTTAAAAAACTAAATCTATATCATAGTCACATGCATGACTCCAGAGAGAACATGATATTCTACATTAACACAAAGCAGCGCAGTTACGCAATACTGCAGCCAATCTGTGCGTCGTGGATCTATGCGGCTGTAAAAGAAAAGAAGCGCTCTGCAGCTGGATGATGGAGAATAAACTTACTGTAAAGCTCAGCGAGCTGGTTTTTCCCCAGGACCTCATCGTCCTCCTCAGGGTTACACAGACAGACTTTAGAAAACAACACAGTTAAACAAGCGAGCGCCACGAAAGCAGAGAGCGAGTCCACGCAGCGCCAGAAGCGCAGAAACATTTCGACAGATGGTTGAAATGTAGCAGAGCACAGAGTGAGCGCTCATTCTCCAGTTGTTTTCGGGATCTGTTGCCTTTTTTTTTCTCCCTCCTCTCTTCCAGAAAACTTTCTCCGGAGTTTTGTCCTCCAGCAGCGACGTCACGTCTGACGGAGGAGTTGCAGCAGCAGCAGCAGCAGCTGTGCCGCCCTGCTGTCCTTCCACTGGGACAGGAAACTTTTTCACCAAAGGTTTCCCAACAATCCCCCTCCCAAAAAAAAAAAAGTAGTTAAATATAGAGGAAAGCAGCATCCACAAATTTCCCAAACACTTCTCTGATGGTTTGGGGCGGAGCTAGATGGGGGGCCAGGGGTGGCCATGGCCACCCTGAAAGCTGATTAAAACTATGTTCACACCAAACACAGCAGCAGCAGCAAAAACGTGTCTGCTGCTTCCTTTTTGCTGCTTGCACCAGTTTAGTTCTGACTCCCGGCTGAAGCAGCTTTGGTGCTCTCGCTTCGCAGTCAAAAAGTAGGACTAAGTTGAGCGGAGCTACCCTTTCCTTTATTTGCCCTGCAGCTATATTTGCTGTGATCAGTTGGAATAAAGTAGTTTTAATATGTTTTTAAGTGGGAAAATCCACCTGAAAACTTAATCAGTGCAGTCAGTTCATCCAGATTACAGTACCATCCTGCCTTCAAATATTATTTCTGTCGGAGCCGCTCAGAAATCCCATTCAGCAACAGCCTCTGGCCCGGTCGCCTCCTTGCGGTTTGCCGCGGCAGCTGGTAGGTGGTTTTCATGTACATAATCCAAACTGCAGGCACCAGGATAATAAAAGTGAACATGTTTTGCTGGCAGTTTTCAGCATTTTAACCTGATTTGATGTGTGCAAAATAAAATGGGGATATGCCATTTTTGTCAAATAACAATGATTTAAACTCCAACCAAAAAGGGTATACTATCTTTTCTGTATAAATAGTTTAACTCCTTATTTGTTCTTGGGACTCTATGAGACAAATATTTTTTCCGAAGGGTTTTCTACTGATAGTTTATCAAAGTTTTTAAATATATGTAAATGTACATCAGCTAGGCTGTATGATTAATTACTATATGAAAAAATAGTACTCCTTTGCAGGTGTAAAGGGATATTTCAGATTATTTAAAGTGGCTTTCCTTATCAAATGTCATCATGTTTTGCAGACACCTTTTCCCTCAGTTGTAAAAAACATTAGTTTTCATCAAAGATATAATCTATCGGCTAATTAAAGTTTAATCAATTCTAAAAAGTAAATGCCTGGTTAATAAAAGAAAGTTGCAAAAAAAAAAAACATAAATAAACGCAATTAACACAAATACTGTTATACAGTTCCTTACTCTTTTGTTGCCTTTAATCCATCCTCTCTCCATCAGTCTATGGGTGAAAGGTGGGGCACACACTGGGTGGGTCGACAGTCCATCACAACTTGCATTTCATAAGATCTTATTTTCATAATTGTAATATACACTAAAATATATTTTGACCCATGGTCTGCTGCAACAGTTATCACATATAGATTATTTGGTTCCTTCCACATTTGAAAGTGTTGAGTTTGTGCGCAGCTTTTTAAAACCATTGATGTACAAGTATACATTAAAACTAAGGGGTCTGTGAAGCACAGTCACTAACCACCGGAGTTGCCATTTCATTCAGTTTATTTAAATAGCACCAATTCACAAAAACCAAAAAAAAATGTCAAGGCACAAAAGAGCAAAGGACAAGGTAACACACCTCCATGTTGATCCCTCAGCTGGAAGACAAAGAAAGGTTGGATGCCTTTTTGCTGTGTTGAGATGCAATCAGTTAACAAATTTTGTTACTTGCAAGGTGGCATAACCCTTCTTTGTGTTTGTGCAACACAAGCATAATATACATTGTATTGGAAGATTTAAAATCCAAAGACCTTTATTTGCCAAGCTGACAAAAGAAGCAGAGCAACATCTGGATTTCGTCCCGAGGCAGCAGAGCCCTGTGTAACAATAAATTGGCCAGTCTAATCAGAAAGACTTTTACAAAAAAAAGGTTTTAAATGTATTTTTTTTTTTTTTTTTTATTAGCTTGTGCTGTAATAATTGTGAGGGAATCACACCAAAGTCCTTCTTTAAATGGTTTTCAGGTTGAGACACCTCAGCTTTTGTTTTAAATATGCATAGAATTATGTTCAAAAACCAAAAATAGCTTCTAATTTCTATTAAAACATTTGGTTAAAAAAAAGAATAGGAGTCTGATATTTTAGATATATCAAAACGGAACCTTCAAATATTCTATTCCATGTATGCGTTTTATTGTCAATCAAATTTCTTTTTAAAAAAAATTTTATTTGATGACAATTTATGGGATGTTATGGATTGATGGCTAAAGTTAGCTCTATAACTAACGCAGTGTGGTAGGATAGTGGTCATATTTTGCACTTTAAATGACCGACATGTCATGAGTTCATGAGATTTGCTGTATGCAATAACAGGAAGAGACAACTTAATTTAGAGAAAAACAATCCTAAAAAAAATATTAACATATTAAAGTCCCTTGAAAACAAATCTATTCCAAGATCAGTGAAAAAAAATCAGTGGACAATGAAATGCTAAAAGAAACTCAAAACGTTAAATATATAAACTTTTTAACAGCAGTGTGATCAGACAACAGGACAACACAGCTGGTTTGACAAGATCAAACTTTACCTTTTGTCGCTGTCAAGTACTAACAAGGACATACATTCAATCAAAACTGCATATCAAGTAATTCACAGTAAGAAGTAGTCTTGATTAGTTTTCCCTTAAAAGAACAACAACAAAAAAAAACACAAAAGTTTGCATTATTAAAGGCTCAGCCTTGCTTTATAATAAAGCAACAAACACAATAAAACATAAAAACAACACAATATTTACAAACATTTCAATGAATCAGTTTTTCAGTAGTTATCCACTTATGTGTGTCCCTCTTTACCAAGCTAACATAGCAGAAACATTGACTTTTAGTGTCTTTCAGTATGTTACCAGCAGTGCACTTTAACAGAAATTCATTTGTGACGTTTTTCTACCATCTTGCATCATCTATGATGTAAAACAGAATGAAAAGTTATTTATTTAAATCTCAGACCAACGTATCTAAAAAGCGCTGCATATGCACTGAGGTGCAGTCAGATGATGGCTTTCAATGCCTCCAGTTTATCATCAGTAGTGATTTATCGTACATTCCTTTCTGTGTGTGTTTTTATAAGTCACATTTTTAAATGTAGATGTGGAGCTTTTGAACAGAGGGTTGGTCCCCTGGAAAAAAAGACAGAAAAGACAAATCTGTTTTGACATGATTAAAAACAATTTTAAGGTCCACATATTATATGAGCAGAAACCAACAGAGCGATTACTTTAACATGGGCTACGGGAGTCAGTCAAGAAGAAGCCATCTTTTCCAAACAGAAATCCCTCATGATTAGGCTGAAGTTTTTAGCATTCTACATTGGAAGCTTTCAAACTTAAAAAATGCTCTATTAATTGAAAGCATCACAACATGGGGCTATTATGTGGGACTAATGAAGATAATCTCAGTAACTCCAAGTAAAATATAGATTAGTGGCTTTCGAAAAAATCCCCCCTCAAAATAAAAAAAACAAAAAAAAAAAAAAAACTATAGGGTGCTGTTGGTTTAAGTGATGGAAGCTATAGATTTTCTTTAAAATCATTTTTTTAGCTGGGATTCCATGAAATTTTAAAATGTAAAGTTGAAATTTACTTTGTACAAGCCAAATGTTGGCAACACCATACCACCCCGCACCGACCCCCCACCCCCCCAGGGGGCAGTATCACTCCCGTTGAGAAATATAGAAAAATATATAGACAGTGGAACCTTGGACTTGATGGGTTCTATGCACAACTCCACTGCATCCAGAAGCTCCTTTGTTTCCTGTCTGTCATTAGTGGATAAATTGATTACATCAGTAACCATGACGACAATGGCTAGACATACCTAGGCCCAGTCCCAAACTGGTCCCAAAGCACTAACCCTCAGTTTGTTCATTCCCGCGGAGGGTCCACCACATTCTGTGCCATCCCAAACCACGTAGTGGGTAGGGAGAATGGACCGTTCAGCCCTTAAGCAATGAGTCTGCCTTAAGTGCAGGCTCGCTGGAATTTGGCAGCAGGTATAACAGCACTTAAATTTGCATTTAAATGCAAGTTCCACCGGTTTGCTGTATCTTCATCACACTGACGAAAAATCACAAGTTAGATATATGAAAAAACTGTAATTAATTCAATAAAGAAAGGTAATCTTTGAAATAGTTATATTTGACTGTATACATTTGTTTTAGCAAGGGGCAAATATGATGTTTTATGTCACCCTGTGCCACAGAGCTACAGCCATGAACATGGTGCGTCACTATGGTGCCATAGCAATGACTGCTTTCTTTTCCGTTGGAGGGAAGGCCAACCCATTCTCTTTTATATCCACACCTTTAATCAAGGAGCCTTCCACAGCTGCGATAGTTAGGTGTTAGTGGTTAGGGAGCGGCTTGGGATTCAGCCCTAGTTTAATCAGTTCATCCAGTGATGACAGGACACTTCAGGAAAGTAGTGGAGTATTGCATAGAGCCCATTGGGAGTTCAAACATCATGAGGATCCTGTGCGTTAGGTAATGTTGGAATGCAAAAAAAGCAGGCTAGCTTCCTGTTTATAGAGTGAGAGAGAAGTTAACCATTTTGAAAATGTACAGAGTAGAGTCATGGCAGAAAACAAACCCATTTTAAAAAGTTTTCTATCAAATGTCTGGGGCTCGTTTCACAAAGGAGGTTTACTGAAAACTCTTAAGTTTTCTAAATCTGAAAGCATGGAAA